ACATCAATCCTTACAACTGGAAGACCTAAGTTATCTATTAGCTTTTTCATATCGTAAAAGTCACTTGGCATAATGTTATAACGAGGCATTGTTTCCCGCATTACTTCAACAAAAGAGTTGAAGCAATCCACAGACACATTATGCTCTGTCTTGATATTTAACAGTCTTGCTGTCACTGATACCTTCGTGTGGTTGTCGCAACCTACCCATAAAGGTTCATCTGCTGTTTTCAACACTTCCCAGAACTGATTAGATTGAAAAGTTCCATCACACACATTCTTATCAAAACTTGTAACTCCTATCTCTTCCAATTGTGATGTATGACTAGTTCCCACTTGTTCAAGTGTAGGAGTAAAACTAGCACTTGCATGATTCGATTCTGAAACAAAATTATGACCGGCTTCATCAAACACCATCCTCTGGTATGGGTTCAATTGGTCATAATATCTACATTCTTCCCTAACTAAAAATTGGTCGCTTCTTCGATATCCGTCATCAGATATAAATGGTTCACCATGGCAAGTCCAATTATAGTAGTTCGGAGTAAACCCAAATCTACAAAGATGTTCTCTAACTTTATCAATGTCTTGAAATTTTCCATTACTGCACTTTTTACATGGACACCTTAACTTATTTCCATCCATGAACTCATATTTACTACTAGCAAAGTCCAAAAATAGTTCCAACCCGATACGAAACTCATCGGTCAAACTCATCGGTCAATCCTCGACGTCCAGGTAAGTTCTTATTATACATCCAACCCCTGTCTCTTTGCATTGTGTATGTATATAAATAAAAAAATTCTCGTAAAATATTAAAAATATAATATCTATTGTTTAATATTGTTAATTAAAACCAAAAATTTCTAAAAATTAAAATTTTATTTTTTACGAAACAATTACTTTCAAATTGAAAAAATTATCATGTCAAGAAGACTTACCAAGTATTTGACTGAAATCTTTGTAGTAGAAAGTGGTCAATTTGATAAGAATTGCAACGTTCACTTGGATTGCGAGACCTTCAAATGGACACGTACCTAAAATAAAAACAAATTACTTAAGATGCATTTTTTAATTATTTTTTATTTTTTCTCTTTCTTTTTCTTTTCCTTTTCATTTTATTTTTTTTTCCTTTCTTCTTAGCCGGTCGCCGGTCCAGCGACCGGCGAGCTCGAGCTCGCCATGGCCGTCGAGCTCGCCTGGGCAAGTTCTGGGCGAGCTCGAGCTCGCCGGCCATGGCGAGGCCCATGCGAGGCTAGCCCTCGCCGGCACTGGCGAGGGCCGAGCTCGCCCAGTTCTCGAGCTCGCTGGCCATGGCGAGCTCGGCCCTCGTCGTCAGCCCATGCGAGGCTAGCCCTCGCGGGCACTGGCGAGGGCCGAGCTCGCCATGGCCGGCGAGCTCGAGCTCGCCCACATCTCGAGCTCGCCGGCCATGGCGAGGCTAGCCCACCTGGGCGTCGGCGAGGTGGACCGACAGCCATGGCCAGGCCGCTAGACCTCGCCCCATGGCCGACGATGTCTCCGGCGACCGGCCAAACCAGTAAGGAAGGGAAAAAAAAATTTCAATAACACCAAAAAATACAAATCCAGCGATGAATAGTTTTGCGACGAACCGTTTTCATCGCCAATTAGTAACGAAATTAGCCACGACACTTACCGGCGGAAAAGCTTTACCGAGATTGATTTGCGCATGCGCAGATAGGTAAATCGAGAGAAACGAAAGAGAGAGAGGGAGAGAGAACAGTGAGGGGGATATGAGGAATCAGTCGAGATAGAGAAATTGGTGGTGGGGATGGATATCATAAAAATTATTTTCCGTGTCGCAAATTAGCGACAAATTTTTTTTCCGTCGCAAATTAGCCACGAATAACTTTCCGTGCCAAAATTCGTCGCAAATTTGCCACGAATAACTTTCCGTCGCAAAATTCGTAGGAAATTAGCGACAAAAAATTTTTCGTCGCAAATTTCCAACGAATTTAGTTTTCGTCGCAAAAGTCGTCGCTAATTTCCGACGAAAAATTTTTCGTCGCAAATTTTCGTGGCAAAATCCTAGTATTTTTGTAGTGACTCTTCAATAACTTTAAATACTAACATTGACATGATTTAAAAAATTTAGGTGCTCAATGTGGTTTTAGTCGTGGTGCTCAAACGTTTACAGCAAGATTTGAAAGTCTGAAATTTGTCTTCTCAATTTTATGATATATGCAAATTTAACTAAATGTAAATGTAAGTAATCTTCTTTTTCTTGTCTAACTCACTTCCTTTTTCCTTTGTGCGTTTCAGGAATACCCCCATTCATGGGTTAAGTTTATAAGCCATCAATCAATAATTGGATGGAGGAAAATGTAATGGCGATCGCGCCGATGTGGAAATGAATAGGAGCGCGCGACTTGGAAGAAGGTAAGCACAGCGAGCATTCTAGCATAAAGAATTTGGTGAGTTTAGATAAGAGGTGCAATGAGGACAGGATGATGTCTTGAGTTAAACTTTTGCTTTCTCGTGGGACAATTGCCACGGGTATTATATGCATCCTAATCAACTACATAAGTTCCTTCGCATCATTGACGCAAATGGACAGATGATGCATTTGCTTCTAAGCAAAGTGCAGTTAAGGGGGAACTTTTCCATCTCGAAAGCTAAGCTCGATTAGACTCATTCTTCCTAAACTCTAATCCCCTAGCTACGACTGATGTTCCATGCAGATGAAAATGTTTGAAGAATAAGACTCGAAACCTGAACCAAAAATTGAAAATTTACCTCTTAACTTATCAATAGATCCGAAGAACACACGTTGTTCATCGTTGATTAGTCCAGAATCGTACTGAATCATCACATCTGCTCACCCTATGTGAAGGGAGTACGACATTCTAGTGTCGTGGGTCCTCCAGAGCTCCTCTCGATTTAAACTAGAGTTCAACTCGAATTTTGTCATTTGCCTATTTTAGAATAGGCAGCCAGTCTAATCTGCAAATATGAAAGGTGAACAGCCGATGGCGAAGGCCGCCTTCGCCCAGGCGCCGCCCTTGCCTGTGGCGGACGACGTCGACCCTAGCCCAGGCAAGGCCAACCCGCCCTAACATGGCCAGTGGCCAATCACCTGCAAAAGGAAGAAGAAAGGGAAAAAAATCAGAAAAAATAATAATAAATAGAAAAAATATTAAAATTTTATTAAAAATTATCCACGTCAGCACTAGACATGCCACGTAAGCCGGCCGGCATCCTCGTCAGCAATATCCGGCCAAAATTAGCCGGAAAGATTAAATTAGGTTAAAAGGTTTATGACTAAATTGATACTAAAGCAATTGGTTTATGACTTTTTTGAATTTATATTGCTAAAAAGTGCACATAAAAGTGTTTAAACCATAAGAAAAGTTGACAAATCAAAAAAAGATATATAAATGTCTGTAATGAGAGTGAGAGCGAGAGCCCAATACTAAGTGGTAATTTAATGAGAGAAAGTTAATGAGTCCCCTAGGTTGGTAATCTCTAAAAAGATATTTTAGTAAATGTAAAGGGATGTTAATAAAGTTGAATAAAAATTGGTAACTCAAAGGAAAAGTTGGTATATTAGAAAAAAAGAAACAAAATGCTCGTAAGTAACTAAAATGAGAGTCGATAATTTAAAAGCTAATAGTAGTTTAATTTGACAAAAGTTCATAAATCATTCTAATTTAGGTTGATAATTTCATATAAGAGTTAGTAAATTTAAAATATTGGTAAGTTTTGCAAATAAATGAAGTTGGAAAAATAGTAAAAAAAGTTGACAATATAATAAAAATGTTGATAAGTTATTAGCAAGTTATTATAAAAGAAGGTTACTCGTCATTAGGGTCATCAAAAGTGTAGATCGGGTCGAAAATGGTTCGACTCAAATCAACCAATTTAACTCGTTTTGACTCTTTAATATGAAATACAAATTTAGTGGCTCATATTTGACCTAACACGTACTCGGCCCATTTCTAAAATACTTCCATATTTAATCCAACTTATGAAGATTTGTATCCACCTAGTTAACCCACTTTAAGTTCTTCATGTGTATATGTTATTTGGATAATATCGTTATTTCGACTATAAGATGCTAAAGAATTGGCTTTCAAAATTGTATAGAATTTTCAATATTTATATTGATTTACAATAAAGAATAAGAGAAAGTTACTTGGTAGTGAATTTATAAAATTATAGCAACAAATAAAGTGGAGGGATTGATTTTAATTAAATGGAATGTATGATATTGAAGAAGATGATTTATGCTGACCATGGATTGCAATAACAAAAACTAAGATTAGAATATTACATAAAAATAACAATGTCAAATACAACTAAGAAAAGATATACTCTTATAACTAACAAACGAAACTTACAAGATTAATAAAAATAAAAAAAATTATAAGGAAAAAGAGAAGTCGTCATTTTCAATAAGAGTGAAGTCGGGCCTATCTTGCGGGCCATCCAAGACTTCTTTGAACTTGGAACAATCCGAGGAGATAATTATTTTCTCATAGAGAGTGAATAGAGAATTACAAAAGTGAGTTGGGCTTTGGTAAACTGTGAACCCATTTAACACCCATTTGACAACTTTACCCGTCATTTTCTTACAAACAGATTTTTGCTACTTACAACACTAATTGAAATTTACCAACGTATAAGAAAGTCTGTATTTTTAGGCACGGAATAATGAAATTTTGCTAGAATGGAACGACAATTAACGAGACCTCTCAATTCAAATGAGCCCGACGATTTTCTGCATGAACCGCTTAATTTAATACAAGGTTTTGGTTCTAATCCCGCGTTACAGATGTATATGACTGGTGACCGGAAGAGAGTCTGGTGCGATTTAATAGCAGAAGAAAAAATGCGATGAAAAAAGATGACTTGTTTGCGTCACTTATGTTCGGTTGCGTTTTATCTGTGTAGACCCCATCCTTTTCCCGCACCGGAAAACAATGACTCGTTACCCAACCCCGTCATCTTCACCACTTAATTTTGTTTCTTTCTTTCTTTCAATCAAGAGTGTATATCAAGTCACCCTTTTGTCTCACCTCTCTCTGCACACACAATCATTCTCAACCAACGGAGAGGGAGAGCGCAGCATGAAGAAGATCAATCAGCTGATACTGAGGAAGTGCAAGAGCTTGTCCCGGCAACTGGGGAGATCCTCGTCCTACAGCAACCTCAGGTCGAAGTCGGCGAGAGAGGTCGAGCTGTGGTGCGGCATGCTAGACGACCCCAACGAGCCTCGCGAGACTATAATCGTTGGGAGCTCAAGGAAGCGTTACTTGATCAGCTCCAAGCACTTGAGCCACCCCTTGTTGAACGCTCTCATCCAGAAGTCCTCATCGTCATCGAAGCAGAAGCCGGGAGACAGGGATGGTGTTATTCAGGTGAAGTGCGAAGTGGTTCTCTTCGACCACCTCCTGTGGATGCTCGACAATGTTGACCCAAGCATCGGTCCCGAGTCGCTGGAAGAACTGGCTGAGCTCTATGTTTTCTGATGATGATAAGGGCTCTTATTTCTCTACACTATAAATTTTACCTAGATCTCCAGCTATTGATGATTCTTTTATTTTTAAGAGAGATAGATAATTCAAATCTTGATTCATTTCATATTAGGTCAAGACTGCCGAATGCACCTGATCAAAAATTTTGATGATCGAATCATCAAGTGCTTTCGGCATTTCTTTGTGGATCTACAGCAATAAACGTAATTACAATATACGAATGAAGCAAGTCCATGGATCTGGTGGGTCGCAAGTTGGACTCAAGTTATGTGATGGGCGCTGATGGGGGAAGGGGATCTGTATGCGTATAGTATAAGGTGTTGAATTCTTGCTTTGTCACAATATTATGATATGATCTATACACGCCCGGGCTAGTACATGGTTCTGCTATTTAGATCCCTTTGTTCTTGAATAAATTTGGTGATTCAATATCAGATATTTGGACAAATCATAGTTTTTTTCTAGACATATATGATCTCTTATTCATTGGTTGATGGACCAAAAAAGAATCACCTTGTTCACGGGGCTTGCAGGATGTTCTCTAGGCCTTCGAATAACCGGGTCTCTGCAATTGTATATATGGATTTAAGTAAAAAAAAAAAGCATAAAGCATCGATCGTGCATTTGTTTAGTTGATCGCTCGCATTACACAACACGCTAGTGGATTGGTACAGTTTGAGCTTTCTCCGGATGGGGAAACCTCTAATTTGATGGACCGCTTTCAATCGGTTTATGGGACTCGCACGCCGCTAGGTAGCCGGGCTTGTGTTCGAACCTTATGTTGAGTTAATTTCAAGGTGCTACATGTGGACAAGGACCAAAAGGTATACATAAATTCTATCATTTGCCGAGTCAAGTATAATAGATACTTTCTCCTGTTGCAAATTACCCAGATAAGGAGCTTCCCCATATAAAAAATGGCGAACTGTTTTATGCTAAAAAGATATTTATTTTTCTATAAGAGATAATGGCATAAATAACTCATCAACTTTAAATTTGTTCAATGTGATCCCTGAATTTTAGTACAATGTGCAACGTTGCCTCTGAATTTTAGTCAAATATGCAACATTGTCCCTGAAATTTAGTCCAATATGTAACTTTACCCAAGGAGCAGCGACCTATGCCGGCTACTAGGCGAGGGCTCGCGACCCTCACCGACCCTTGCCCAACTCTGAGCAACAGTTGCGAGCACTTGCCCAATGGCTAGCGGGGGTCGTCGAGCCTTGGCAGGTGGTCGTCAGCCACCTGCCGACCCTTAACAATAAAAAAAAGAAAAAGAAGAAAGAAAAAAGAAAAGAAAATATAAAAATTCAAAAAATAATAAAAATTGTTCACGTCGGCGTCAGACGTACCATGTAGGACAATTAGCAATATTGACTTAATTGACAAAACGCCAAAATGTTTATGACTCAATTGATATAATTAAAGGCATAATACTAGATTGGCAAAAGCGCAATGTATTTAAGACTTTTTTGAACAATTTTCCCTGAAAAAGTAGGTATCAAAGCACGAGATGGATTTTCAGAAAAAGAATCAAAAGTTCAATAAGAAACTCGATTCAAGAATTGCTTTCTTCCCATCGCAATTACTAATTTCATAAGTACATCCTATAAAATATTTTACACAAAAAAGGATATCTATTGGGTCTTGTTGACACAAAAAATGACCAACTTTTGATTATAATTAACAAGTGACAAATTTAGTTGATAATAGCAGAATTTGATAAGCAACAGAAGTCATCGATGAAAAAGACAGCGACAACTTGAAGAGCAATGAGAAGGAAGTCATTGACAGCAAGCAATCGACACAAGAAGGTAACTACTTCGTAGTTATGTTTATTGCTGCTATTTTAAGATTTTGTAACTTCTTGTGGATTAATTTTGTTATAACTTCTTATAATCGCAAATAGGACTAGGAAGTTATTTGTTTTGAAAATAAGATTAGGAAGCCAAACCTATTCTTTCAAATTCAATAACAACTTGTAATCGTTGATTGTGGGTTATAAATAATTACATTGTACTCCTCATAACAGATCCTTAATCCATCACAGAACTCAACGTTCTTTTGCAAATTTATCTTCATCTATATTTTTTGCAAATGGCTAGCCACAATTGTTTCTAGTTTTCAAACTTTTAAATTCCTTGTCATTTACTGTCCTATCAAAAAATCAACAAACGACAATTCGCAACATTTGTTGATCTGTATTGTACCATCCATCTTCTTAAAAGATATTCCATTGACAGTTTTTGGTGAAAACATCTATTTGGCACGTTCGATTATACAAATTTTGTTAATTCAAGCATAATACAATGGCAAGAATAAAAAATCAACAAGAGTTCAATAATGTTGCCGGCAACAACAATCTAGTATCACAAACTAGAAATGATGTTGCTGCACATTCAGAGTCCTCAGTCCCTGGAAGGGCAATGTCGAAGAGGGTGATCTTCCAAGGCATGTTACTAAAGAGCAGTTAATGACTGGTGCTCTAAATTCCAACATGGTATCTACCATGAGAAGATTGCTCGAATAACAATGAAATGATATATGGCCAAGTACATCACAAGTCGCGTGCCGGATGTGATCAAGCCAATCATCATAAATGCTGTAAATGATGTTTTGTCGTGGCCATGATCATCCAATCCACCGCTACCATTTCAAGTCAATCCAGTCGTAACAAGATATATTTCTAGTTTCTTTTCATTTATGGATGCTAATAATGTTGGTTAGAATAGCCAAGCTCCTATAAGAATTATGCAGAGGCTTGAATCTTCTTTGAGGTAGTGCTTATTTAATGCGGTGTTCATTTTAGTTTATTATTTGAGAAAATAAGAATATTTTAGATTTATATTTGAAAATTTTCCAAAATCTTTTGGATGTACAATAATAGCAAATCCTCCGTGCAACAGCCATACAGTGTAAAGAAGAAGATTGTCGGGGGGCCGACAGGATGTGAAAGGTGTTCATCAAATCGAATAGAATCAATCAAAAAGCTTAAACTACGGCAGCGGGAACCACCGATGGCTGATTCAAGAAGTCGTGTCCTGAGCTGAGGCCCGCCAAACTGTACAACTTCTCCCGCATCCCATGAATGATCACTGCTTCTCTCTCTCCTCCTTCGTCTTTCCAAGTTCCAACACCCGTAAAAGGCAGTTCTTTTCCTTACATTATACGCTAGTAAAAGAGAAAAGCAGCTTTAAGGCATCGAGCTGTCTCCCCTGAGCATGATGATGGCCATTGGCGATGCCCATGGGGTGGGGTGCGGGGGCGACAAATGGGCTACATGCCCCCGCACTCCTACTTGACGAATTTCTTATTGCGGAGGGACGAATGGGAATTGGGTAATATACGCTTTGAACGGTGCCTCAGCCTGCAGCACCACCGGATTTTCCTCCACTCGGAGCTTTTTCTTTCTGTACTCGATCGAGTGAGTCCCTCTTCTTCTCGCACTTTCCTTCTTCGGGTTCCTGCTGTTTCGCTTTTCCCTTGCAATTTGCATGTCCTGTTCGTTGTACTGGCTCTGCTTTCCGAGATCGTTTGGGCTCGCTGTCTTTTGGGTGTTTGTGTCGTGTGAGCTTCACTTCGCTGGATGGTCGTTCAGTGGTGAGCTGGAGTGTTTCCTTTTTCCTAGGTCTTCTGTCGGGGCCTAATTTTGCTGGGTTCGAGAGTTATGTCTGCAGTCGCTTTGAGTTTGAGTAGGAAGGGCAAATGTTTTGCTTTCGGTGGTGTACTCGTAGTTAGATGGCTGTGCTGTATCTGATTTTTGTTTTTTGGTGTTCTTATTGCCCATTTTTTATCTTCTCAATTCTCTTGGGTTACGAAATGAAGCAGGCAAGCAGCATGCGTCCACTTCGTGGTTACTTGCAATCTGTCCGTGTATAACCTTTTAACACTTTCGAGAAACTTCTGGGTTGCTGTATTTTTCATTCTACTGCACATCAAGTTTTCAGTCGGTGTCGCCATGCCGCCGCTGGCCTATGGATTTACTTTGTTCGAGTTCACATAGGTTGAAATCTGGGCAGGTACAGCACATTGTGTTGTGATTATCTGATGTGGGTGATTGGTTTACAGGATGAGTGACTTATATTATTTTTTGGGTCGAATAGTGACTTATATTATTATCTTGTGTTTTTTGTTAATTTTCGGATGGAATCTCGTGCTTGTTTTGAATATAGGAACTCTGGCAATTAACTGAAGGTTTGTATGTCTGCTCATCTGTTCTCTAGTCTTCCCATGAGCCACTGCTCCCAAAGTTATTCCTTCCACGCACCGCGGCATCTCAGTTTGGTTTGCTTAGCTTGGCCTGTGCATAGTAAGTGACAGATGGAGCGGACTAAAATGCATATGAGGGCTGTTTGCTCCGGTTCAACGCCATCAGAAGAGTCTGCTCTAGATCTTGAAAGGAGCTGTTGTAATCATTCTAATCTTCCTTCATTCAGTCCACCAATGCTCCAACCATTTGCATCCGCTGGACAGCACTGTGAGAGCAATGCCGCTTACTTCTCATGGCCAAGTCGGTTAAATGATTGTGCTGAGGAGCGTGCAAACTATTTTGCAAATTTGCAGAAAGGGGTGCTACCTGAAACTCTTGGTCGGTTGCCAAAAGGACAGCAAGCTACCACATTGCTTGAACTCATGACCATAAGAGCATTTCATAGCAAAATCTTGCGCTGCTACAGTCTTGGCACTGCCATTGGTTTTCGCATTCGACGTGGTGTGTTGACTGACATACCAGCCATTCTTGTATTTGTCTCTAGGAAAGTCCATAAGCAGTGGCTCAGCCCCATCCAATGTCTTCCAACTGCTCTAGAGGTCAGAGAAGTATATTTGATCATTTGTCCTTCTCCATTCTCATTGAGGGGGAGGAAAGGTGAAAATTGTGTTACCTCCTCTTCTTTCTCTATGTTGTAAATAAACTTTCAGCGCAACCTTTAATCAGGGACCTGGAGGGGTGTGGTGTGATGTTGACGTGGTTGAGTTTTCGTACTTCGGTGCACCTGAGCCAGCTCCTAAAGAGCAGTTATACACTGAGATTGTGGATGACTTGCGTGGAGGCGATCCATGCATTGGTTCAGGCTCACAGGTAGTTTCTGCGCCTTCCCAACATATAAATGAATCTGAATTTAGATGGAAAAACTTCCTGTTTTTTTTTGTAAAAAAAAAAACCTATCAAAGATTGGAAGATATTCACTTCTCTTATTCTGAGTTGGGGTTTTTTTATTTTAGTAGTTCAATTTGGTTCTGTTATATCTTTATAGTGGATTGAGATTATGTCTTTATTTTTTGCGATCCAATTTTTCTCTTCTATTTGTCTAGGCAACTTGCTAGTCTGAAATCTGATGAATGCTAGAGTCACATGCATTGAGTTTCAAGTTTTTAAAATCTTGTGCATTACTTGTGAGAATTTTTTTGCTGAGAACAGCATTAGGGTTCTAAGCTGTAGTTAAAAATTTGACTGCAAGAAGGAAATCATCTTGCTGACTGGCTTCCAAAT